TGTGGTATCTTGTCTTCCTGTAGGCCTCTAAAACAGAAGCCATTGGGTGATGATGTTCCTTGTACATATTTGCACCTTCGAAAATCACCTAATGAATGTTAACCAGTGTCAAGGAATGGCAATGTTCTTTATATTAACCCTTGACCTTATAATAATCCTTACAGCAGGAAGGACACTGTATGCTTTTTTGTCCAGCTCCTGGACCAGGGGAGTGTTAGACTCATTCTATCTTCACCACTGTATTAGGCTGTTGTTGCATTGCTATAAATAAATACCTGAACTGGGTAATTTATAAAGAAAAGAGCTTTAATTGGTTCATGATTCTGCAGGCTGTACAGGTAACGTGATACCACCATCACCATCTGATGAGGCCCTCTGAAAGCTTACAATCATGGTGGAAAGTGAAGCAGGTATATCACATGGCCAGAGCAGGAGCAAAGGACAGGAGGAGAAGCCAGACTCCTTTAAATAATCAGCTCTCATGTGAACATGTTACTGCAGGGAGGGCACCAAGCCAGTTATGAGGGATCCACCCCATGACCCAAACACTTCCCACCAGGCCCCCACCTCCAACATTGGAGGTCACATTGCAACATCAGATTTGGAGGGGAGAAACATCCAAACCATATCAATCACTATTGCTCTCAAACCTCCCCATTATTAGTAGAGATCCATTTGGATCTCTACTAATAGCCTCTTTTCTTCTGGAAACTGCTGTCCTCTCAAGTATAGTGAGGTGTACATGACTGGTGTTTGTGCATTTCAGTTTCCAGAATTCAGGAGTATTTTGGGTAACACGATTACTTCTGCCTCTCTGGAGTTAAAGAGAACAATAAGCTACAGTTCAAGAAAGTAAGTAAGAATCAGGTTGGTGGTATCTATGTTATTTCCATCTGATTGCATGTGAAAGCAGTGATGAAAAAAAGTCATGCAACCAGCAAGGCTGGCCCATGATGTGGAGTGAACACTGTTCAAGAAGGGGTTTAAAAGGAAAGACATTGCTCGTTGGTGTTGAAATTTGGAGTATGACCAATGAAAAGAGCTCTAATCTAAGTCATAAGAACTGCATTCTAGGCATAGCACTCTTGCTCAACAAACTGTGATGTTGTGAAAGTCTTAAAAATAAGAGATTTTTACAGGATGGTACCTAAGTTCTAGAATCCTATTATTATTAAAAATAAGGGAATGAAATAGGAGATATTTTATGTTTGGAGGAGATGGAGATTGCCAGTTGTTAAACTAGTTAAGAGGGAAATTTGGCAGCTGAAGGGAAATTACTCTCTTTTTGAGAGCTTAACAAGCAAGAGGTCTTTCCTAACCACTGTCAAAAAACAACTGTGTCCAGTCAGAGAGCATGGAAGTCTCAGAGCCCAGGCCACAGGTATTAGAACAGTGAAGTGTTGGAAACATCTACGTCAGTCCTCATTACTGAGGCTCACTGAGTAAAAACATTCCCTGAAAGCATGTTTGGAAGTGTGGGAACTCATGACTAGCCATTTTTTCCACTGGTGAAATAAGGTAAAATGACTTCCAATTTAACATGAGTAATCAGATTGCAATTAGTTTCAGTGGAAAGGAGCAAAAACATGCATAAGAATGAATACTAACAGTAATTGTTGTTTGAATTGCAATTTAAAAAACATAGTTAAATTGGATCATTTATTATGTCCTCAGCGTTAATAATGAGCCCATAAAGTGAAGATATGTTTTTTTGGGTGGGCACTATTCATTTTTTTATTCCACCAATGACTAATGCCTTCCAATAGTCATTGCGTACAAAGAAGACTCAGATGCTTTCAAAGATTTGGCAAATACAGCTTCTTTCAATGGTGCATTCCTGGGATATATATATATATATGTATAATTATTTTTCCTGAGACAGGGTGTTGTTCTGTTGCCCAGGCTGGAGTGCAGTGGTGCACTCACAGCTCACTGCAACCTCTGCCTCCTGGGCTTAAGCGATCCACCCACCTCAGCCTCCCAAGTAGCTAGGACTACAGGAACATGCCACCAAACCTTGGTAATATTTGTATGTTTTTGTAGAGATGGGGTTTCACTATGTTGTCCATGCTGGTCTCGAACTCCTGGCTCAAGTGATCCACCTGCATCGGTCTCCCAAAGTGATAGGATTACAGGTGGAAGCCACCACACCTGGTTTTCAAAGCGGGAAGAACATGTTGTTTCAATATCCCACTTTTATAGATGAAACCAAGGTACTGAGAAGGTAAGTGACTTCCCCAAGACTAAATAGACTCTTGGTTCTTCTATACCATCCCACTATTAGACATTGGAAGGAATTACTTTAGGATTTTCTCAATAAATGCTGAGAAAAATTACAATAATAAATGACAATAAATTATTTCCATAATTTTCATCTATGGGAGCAGGCTTAAACCAGTGATTTTCATGGAGGGAAGGAAAGAATCATGTGTAGTTTGAAAACAGCAGAATTTTGTCTTACTGCTTTGATTTGTTTTTAGACATGATATTTATTTTCGATTTCAAAGTAAGAGAGGATGAGATATTTACATTTACTGAGGATGACTGCACCTGTAAAGGAACTCATGTGTTAGCTTCTCAAAGCTTTTTCTAGGTTTTTGCTTCCATGAATTAAAAAAAGTTTTTTTTTTAACTTGCTATTCTTTTTAGTCAAAAGTCAAACTAAAAGTGGGTGAATTTAGGCTGTGAAACTAGTGGGTGAATAGTCTAGGAAACAGTTTCTTTTCGACACTCCAAATTGAAAAGGAATAATCACAGGTATAAACAGCTTATCAGCTGATGTTCATCAACTGATGAATAAACAAAATGTGACAGATCTATGTAATGGAATATAATTCAGTTGGAAACAGAAATGAAGTACTGACACATGCTATAACATGGCTAAACCTTGAAAACATGCTGAGTGAAAGAAGCCAGACACAAAAGGCCACATATTATTGTATGAACTTATTTACATAAAACATCCAGAATAGGCAAATCCATAGAAAGTAGATTAATGTTAACTCCCAGAGGGGCTTATGGGAAGGGGAAATGGGCATGACTGTTAACAGGTATGGGATTTATTTTTGAGTGATGAAATGTTATGGAACTAGATCAGTGGTCCCCAGCTTTTGGCACCAGGTTTGGTGGAAGACAATTTCTCCATGGGTGGGGATAGTGGGGGGTGAGGGTGGGGAGGGGTGGGGGATGGTTTTGGGATGAAACTGTACCACCTCAGACCTCAGATTACCAGGTATTAGATTCTCATAAGAAGCACACAACCTAGATCCCTTGCATGCATGATAGGGTTCATGCTCCTATGAGAATCTAATGCTGGGATGATCTGCCAGGAGGCAGAGCTCAGGTGGTAATGCTCGCCCACTGCTCACCTCCTGCTGTGCGGCCCAGTTCCTAACAGGCCATGGACAGGTACCAGTCTGCAGTCCGGTTGTTGGAGGAGTGGTTGGGGACCCCTGAACCAGATAGTGATGATATTTGCACAAAACTCTGAGTGTACTCCATGCCACTGAACTGTACACTTTAAAATGACTAAAATGGTAAATTTTACCACAACAAAACAAAGAAATTGCCTCAGTGAAACTTCAGTATCAACCCTTTCCATGTGTCTGTGATTTGTGGGTAGGACTAGGCTTTGGGATAAAAGGGCAAACTTCTTGTCTGCAGTTAATGGCTTCCGTAGGCCCAGAATATACATATATATATTTGGAGGTAGAAATTGAGGGCCAGAGCTTAGCATAAACATTTCAGAGATTCCTGTTTCTTCTACAATTCCCTCGGGAGCTATAGACAAGACCGGTCGTCTTGTTTAAGAGGGAAAAATGTGTTGGAAGAAGGTCTTAGGCTTTTTTTCTTTAACTGTTGCTATTCCCAGCTCTCACTTGAGAACTGTTTTTGTATGTAGGAAAATCACTAGACTGATTAAAAATGGAAACATTTAGATCAAGCTGTAATTTATCTTGACTGTAAGCAATCATGTAGACAGGGTAAGAGGAATGAACTCAACAGTCTTGCTGTGTTGTGGCTGTTGATTCTGCTTCTGTCCTGTCCCTTGGTCAGATCTGTTCTCTCTCCTGTTTCTGTACCCCTTTAACCTTTAAGAGCCCATCCCCTACTCTCACACAAGGAGTTTGTGTTTTGTTCCTTGGGCTCTTGGTGAACTTTCTTTTTGGCAATTTCTGCACACTAGTCAAGTCTTTGAGAGATATTTGTTTTAGCGGCAAGATTACCTGGTGACAGAGGTTATTCATATATGCTGTGAAACTAGATGTAAGAAAAAGTTGCCTGTTTTGTGGCATGATTTTAACTGTCTTTTTGCTTCCTCATCTCCCAGTTTATTTATTAAAAAAAATCTAATAGTAGTTCTTGCGCTGGCACCTACAACTGATGTTTTTCCCAGATATAAAAATTATACTGGGGGCTGTTGACTACACTGAAAAACCTCCAAAGATTGGGTGATCTTCTAAAAGAATATTTATTTTTATTTAAAAATATGACACATCAAAGTGAAGCAGTGACATTTTAAACAAGGAGATGTATCAAACATTCCCAAGAATTGGGTAGGAGGGTAATTTGCTTAAGTTTACTGTCACTCTGGATGCCAGGAATAAAAACCATCATCACTTTCTTCCTTTGTGAGCATCAAGTACGAAGATGAGATATTTTAGTTATAAATTAGTGAAGTGTTAGGATTTAAATTTTATTTAGAAATTAAGACTTCTCCAGTGAAATACCTTTTATTCATTTTGTTCTGCATCTTGTGGAAGTACTGAATTCAGGGATGTTATTATATTTTCCAAGTTTGCTTCTTCAGGTCAGTTCCAATGTGGTTTAGAAGGAATTTATTTTCTCATATCCTCCCCATAGATTTCTCAATAGTATAATTTTCTAGGGGATATCTGGTTCATTTTGGGAATTCTGGAAAATTTTGCTTACTGTTTTTTACCAAATATTCACAATCTAAAATTTCTGACAGAATTAAAAATACCCTACAGAAACCAGCATATTGTACAACAATGATTTATTACTATGTAATGAACAACCACCTTTTGGCTGGTCATGAAAATAAAAACCAACACAAATATGGCAGATCCCCATTTTCTAAAGAAATATATCTTTATTGACCTTTTCCATTTTCTTACAAAGCAGTTAAAAACTCATTCTTACCCTTGCATGCTATTCAATGGTTATGATGGCTGCCTCCTTATGAGACTGTTAGTGGAGCTCTAGTAAGTTTCCTTAAGCACCACAGAAGATCATCATTGCTTGGTCCCACTTTTACAGGAAAGAATCCAAGTTTCACCAGACAGTGTATACTTAGCTCTCTTGAAGAAGACCAGTTTAGTGGATTAATGTCTAATTTACATACAGTAATAAAGACAAACTTTGATCTTTACAGATTAAATGCCCACTTTATACCATGGTGTAATTGATTGAATTATGGGTGAGTGTACAGTATAGAGATGTAGATGCACTAGATATATCTATAAATAAAATAGTGCTTTAAGGTAACAATATTCTTTGGCTGACTTAAATGCCTGTGGTTGACTCTTATAAAAGACTAAAATGAAAATGGCCCCACTATTATTGTCAATCTTAACACAGAGCTTGTGCGGAAGGTCCCTATACTGCTGACTGTCAGCATCTCCAGGTCCACGATATGTTCTCTTGGTCCTGATAATGACTTCACGAGCACAAGCATTGCACTTACAGGACTTGTTTGCTAAAATAAAAGAAAAAAGAGAAAGGAAAGAATAATTTTCCTTGCATTGGAGTTTCTATGCTTTGTTAGTATACCTCCTATAAGAATTAGGGGGAGAATTTTGAGGGTGGTATACAAGAGCCACTACTTGGTCCCTTCTTGGTTTCAACTCTTCTTGGCTCTTATCCCTTGTCTAATACAGTCATTAGTTCCAACTTCCAAGGACTTACTTTTTTTTTTAAAAAAAAAAAAAAAAAAGTTCTTTGTTTTTGATTCCTCCCTCTCTGTTAACATTTTTCTTCACTTTTATTGAGAAGTTGTGGACTCTACAGAGACTAGAGCTTAAGTGAGAATCTGATAATTTCTGAACTTGTAAACAAAGTTGTCACTTTTCATTTTCTCAACATTGTGCATCTGTTTACATTCTAGTAAGTAAAGAGAAATGGAAACAGTTTTTCAACAGAATGTGGTAAATGCTAAGATATACGGGGTTACCCAGGGCACGTATGAAGATACATAAATGTGTATGTATACAGGGAAGACAAAGAAGAGCCCTGAAGCACTGACAGAAAGCTTTTGAATGCCTGAGGAGAGTCACCAGGGACAACTGAAAGTTTTGTAAAGTAATATGTTCAGAAGAACTGGGTGCAGTTTCATTTTGATGAAGAATGTGATGGGTTCTTGTGAGTGGAGGGAGATGAGGTTGGAGAGGCAGGTAAGTGTATGTGTGAGTTTGAATGCCAAGGGATAGAATCATGGATTAGGATTTAGCAATTACCTCAATGGGTGGACATTAAACCAAGGGAGAGAATGCTTTGGTTAGGTCTACTTGCTATATACTCATGAGCAGCTTGCGACCCTCTGCTGCAGCAGTCAGCATCTTTCTGATCACTTGTTCAGTGTCTTGACTACAAGCTCCATGAAGGCAGGAACTGGCTTGGGTTTATTCATTTTTATGTCTCCAGGATCTTCCATGGTGCATACCTCTTGTAAACAATAGTTGTAGGTAATAATAACACCTTGAAGGTGTTGATTGAATTAATTTATTCATTTAAAATATTTTTTTAGCATCTGCTATGTGCCAGCAACCATTCCATGTGCTGAGAATAGAAGAGTGAACAGACAGGTGTAGTCTCTGCTCTCATTATGCTCATATTCTAGTGGATGACATAGTTCAGTGAACACTAGACTAGGCAGTGATAGGGCTATGAATAATAATAGTAAGGCTCAGTAAGGGAGAGGAGACACTGTGGTACTGGGGGGTATGTTGGATATTCAACCTTCAATTTCATGTACTTTCTTTACAATATGTTCTCTTTTCCAGGGAAGATGGTTTTCTGAGCATTTTCTCAAAAGGAATATAAATCAAATTTTATATTCCACATATCCTTTCAAGAATCAGGCTACTCATGACTATCAAGAAACCTTCTTTGACAGCCCACGTTTTATTTGGACCCTGGAATTGAGCACAAAATTGCCCCCTTTCTATTTTCATAGATGTTAATTTTTTCTACACAATAATATTTAAAGTTCCTTGAAATCAGAAAATGTGCATTACATGTCCTTTTAATTCCTCATGACACCTAGCATAGAGCTGAGCATGTAGTAGGTGCTTAATTAAGCTAATTAATTAACCTAATTAACTTATTTAACCTGCTGTTGATGCATTTCAATGCCCTCTGCACAAGTAGAATTTTAGTGGAGAAACTGTAGGGTTTGATCCAAGTACTTTTTGAATTATGTGACAAGAAATAGTCTTGAAATGTCTATTTTTATTATTTTAAATAATTTTTTTTTCAAATAATTTAACATTATTTAACTCTGGAACTATCAAAATTGGCAATGTTTTATATCAGTCATGAGAATAAGGATTTCACTGGAGAAAAACACTGTATTTTTATTTGAAAGTATCAAGTCAGTAAATGCACTGATATGAATAGTAAGTAACTGTAAAAGTGCCATGTTTAATTGCAAAGAAAAAACACGTTGGAACTTTGTTTCACTCTTTGGTTATTCTGCTAGAAAATTTTATTTTCTTACATTATGGCTAAAAGTTCAAAATAGAAAATTATTTTTAAAGATTTTGTTATTTAAAAATAATGTTATTTGTTTAGGCTAGAATTAGTTAATTGGCAGTATCTGAACTGTGTAAAATTCACTCAGTGGAAATTTCTTATAAATAGCAAGAATATGTCAAATTTAAAATATCAAATGTTAAAGAACTATATTCTTTTTTGTTAGAAAAAATAATTGTAATAGATTGCATTTTGCATTGGGTCTTTCTTTTCAGAAGTTGGTCATGAGAAATTAATCATTTTCTAATATACTGGCAAAGAAATAGTATCACATAACTCTGGAGCTATATGGGAAATTAATATATCAAAAAACAGGATAAATGGGTAAACATTAAAAATCTGTAAACTGTGCCACAAGGACGAATTTCCCAATTTAATTCATATTCTCAAAATGAAATATTGGCTTTAAAATTTGATTAAAAATAAAGAGTGCCCAAAGGAGTTTTGAGAAAATTGTAACTGGATGAATAACATCATTAGCATGAAACAGTTACCGTAACTCTGCAAACTACTTGGTAGGGTGCCATCATTTTCACATGAAGTGGTGAGCCGTATTTAAAATATGTCCAAATTTTAACCTAAAATGAACTTGCTGAGATTTTGTAGGGAGACTGGAAGGCTGAGGCTTTGGGGTCAGGGAGACCAGCTCAGAAGCCACTGAAGGGATCATGGAAATGACAGGAGCCAGTTTATGGGAAGAGACATAGGGATGTGAGGAAGCAAAGATAACCCAGGAGACAGTGTGAAGAGGAAAATGGCAGAATTCAGAAAGTAGATTTCACACAGGCAATGAAAGATAGGAAGGTGACTCCATACTGTCAGCCCAGAAGTTTGCAAGAATGGTACAACTACTGACACATACTGTGCGGGGAGGTGGGGTCACTTCTCACATACTTACAGGTTTCAGTTTTGGTGTGAATGTAAACTGACTTGTGAATGTAACAATGATGAATTCATGATTTCTGGAAAACTCTTTAGGAGCTCCAGTAATTATTTTGGATTTGAATTATATGTATGCCTATATATAATTAATTAACCATCAGTGATTAGTGATACCTACTTAGGGGGTGTTTGGGGTGGGGGGATGGGAGGCTTGTATTTTGGTAGTCACACACAACTCTATCAGAGTCTGCCAAACTTAATATTTGAGTGACTTCAGGGATGCTACTTAAACTTTCTGCATCTCACTTTTCTCTTCCGTAAAAAATGGGGATGAATATTAATATCTATCTAGCAGTGTTACCAAGAGGAATAAATGAAATAATGTACCTGGAAGGGCTTACACAATGCCTACACATAAGACTCTTCAAATGTTTGCTTTCCTTCCACATGTGGATACCACACAACAACAACAACAACAACAAACTCCCATCTTTCTCAATAGTTAAGGCTGCCTTCAGGATACTTACTCGTAGGTAGAACTCTCCATTTTCATTTCCAGATTTAATCCGAAAAGTATTGATAGTGTTGGCATAAATAGTTGTGGCCTGTATCTGGAAGATGTCCGATGGCACAGACCTATCAGATCGGATGCTCATGTATTTGTAGACTATTGACTGGGGCAGTTCTCGGCACATGGCATTTGAGACTGGGCAAACACATCGGCTGCAGAGACAAACAAAAGTAGTTAGCAGTTTGGCTTGGTAAGACCAGAAAATCCTCACTTTCAAAAGTTCTGATTTTTCTTACTTCTCTGGTGTTAGAATGTAGGGATCTTGACAAGGATTTCGTGGATAACAACGGAAGCCGCCATGATAATTCCAACACATTTCATCCTCCCGGCATTCATTTGTGGTCTCACACTCATTTATATCTGTAGAGATGTAGGGTCAAAGAGTTTACTAACTAAACTAATGAACTGATCTAATTAAATCATATTACTGGCAGAAATTCTGTTTGCAAGGAAGGAGGTGTGAGGGCATCTGGACTGTGTTCAACCTGCTTTTAGACACAAGCCTGGGTGTTCGTTGCATTGAATTCAGGACAGATAGAGCTGAGACATTCTAGGCAGATTAATATGTGTCATTTCGTGATATTTTATCCAGCACCTCTTGTTCATCTGTTGAATTCAAAGCCCAATGTTAACCATTGACTCTGCCTATATAAAAGTTAAATAAACACCAGTTCCTGTCCTCAGGGACATTATAATTAAGGGAATATGTATATGGTTACTTAGAAAGTAAAATGGAATTAAGTAAGAGACAGATAAGTATACTGGGGGATGCGGAGCAGAGTTGGGTCATTTTGCCAGAGGGATTAGGGAAGGCTGAAGGAAGGAAGAGGCATCTCAACGTGGTCTTAAAGGGTGATGGTTAGATGGAGTTTTCATGGCTGGGGCAGGGAAGCCTTTCCAAGCTGAGAAATCAGCAAGCATAAACTATGGAGGGCAGCTTACCATCTCTTTCAGGAACTCGGGAGAAAGGAGAAAGCTAGAAATGTGGTTTCAGTAAGCTGAAGCATGCTGGGAGTGGATTATTACTGTCCAGAGGAAGCGCAGCACAAGAAGTGAAACTATGAAGTGTTCCACCTCGTAGAGCATAGCAATTTTAGGACTGTAAGGAAAAAGGAAGTTAAGGAAGAGGCTGTCAGTGGAGGGAGACAACCCAGGAAAAGGCAGTGCCAAAGAAGTCAGAGGGAGAGAGAGTCCCGGGAAGAAGGGCTGTGTTTACCTCAGGCTGGACAAAGATTGACTTTAGATTTGTGAATCAGAAGCCTCCAGATGACATCTGAGAGAACAGTTTTACTAGAGAGCCATTACATTTATAACAACAATACAAATAAAATTAATATCTACATCTCTATGTCTGTCTCCCTTTACATTTGAATAGTGATTTATATTTTATTCAATGTAAACTTTTTCTGAATCATTCCTTCTCCACAATGAGATATTTTCATTCATGAATTTACTAATTCTGTAAGTAATTTACTGAATCCTTACTTTAAGCCAAGCATGGGCTAGGTGCTGGGATATGGTCTCTTTTGAATTCTCATATCTGGTGTTCTTTTTTAAGGGCCTTTATTGCTTTCTGCTTTGCATTATTGAAATCTGCATGTCTAGCTTAACCCTTCTATTAGCTTGTAAACTCCTTGAGGGCAACGGTTATTGTACCCATCTTTTAATCCTTTAATCACCTAGCATTAATGCAATAGAGCACCTGGCTTTAAGAAACAATAAATTGAACTAAGTTGCTCTTCACACAAACTCTGTGGAGGTAGGTGAGAAAGATATTTTCACTTGATATGGATGAAAAACAAGTAAGGGTTTAGTGGCTCATTCTAGTTCACATACTCTAAATAATTCATGCCTTGACTTTGGAGGGAAAAAAAAGTATTTTAGCTTCTAAACTGGCTAAAGTTATCTGGAACTCAAGAGGAGACTGGAAAAGCCAGGTAGTCTCCAGGAGACAGTTACAAAAACTGTCTTCTTGGGCTGGCTATGGCTAAAGAAAGAAAACTTAGATTCTTCGGATGAAATCACAATTGACTTATCCTTTCAGTATTTTCCACTTTTTTGAAAAATAAAGATGCTGTTTAGGTACAGGGAAAACTAATACTGATTTGTTATATGGAGTCCAACAGAAGCAAAAGACAACTTTATAATTTCATTTATTACTTCCAGTAATGTAGAGCCTAGCATAATCATCACCTTAATCATTCTGGAAAAATTTTCAGAAATTAATACTCTCAAAATATTTGATGAGTGTGTGTCTATGTGTATGTGTATTCTTTGTCTGTCTCTCTCTCCACACACACACACACACACACACGCACACACACACACGCACACACACACAGAGTTTTCATTTGTATAGGCCTGTGAAATGAGAACAGTTATTTCATCCCCAAAATAAGTCTTTGGAGAAAGTTAAGAATCCAAACCTTTTCAATTTCATTTTATTCCTGTGGACAAGGCTCAAAAGGAATGATTTCAGTAGGGGAAAGCAATTGCTTTATACTTTAGAAGAATGCTAACTCTTTTTCACAAAAAATGTTTTGGCTTAACCAAACATTCTGAAGCTGCATATCTTCAACATACAACATTTATGAATCCCCCACTTGCAACTTTAGTGCATTTTCCACCTTTAATTACAATAGATATAAATGTTTCCAGATAGATAGGCTAAGCAGGTAGGAGCCCACTGTGCATTAATCTGCTTCTATCTTTTGCTGAGCATCAAATCAATTTTTGATTAGAAACACATAGATATTTGTTTGAAGGACTCCAGAGAAATTTGTTAAGACATTCCACTAGCTAACATTTTCTTGCATATAATATGCATGTTGAAAGTCGCAATTAGGGTTCAGTAAGTAAAACCATTGGAATGCAATGTTTTCCCACAATTAACATTTATAAAGTGTGTAGTAACCTGGAACGGGTTATAAAGATGTTCATTGTGCAATGAACTACATTCTGATTATGCTCATACTCATTGGTAGGAGTCCAGTTGAATAATTGTGTGCCTATTATAAAATCCCAGGTCATAGATTTCCTCTGAGTTAATACTTTCCTGTAAAACCATGATATAGACTGAGAATCCCCAGTGTCTCCTTTCCTTGATCTTTTCTTTTCTTAACAGGATCTTTATTGTCCTTGTGTGCCTTTACTCCAACTCTGATTAAAAAGGACTCTCTACAGAAGATTTACTACTGACCAGTTACATTGGTAAGTAAATTTCATAAAAACACCTTGACTTGTACAGCCTTTATAGTTTGCAAATTATTTTTATGTATGTCATTCCACTAAATTCCCACAACTCCCTTTTCCAAATGAGGAAGCTGAGGCTCAAAGCAGTTTGATAATTTGTTCAAGATTGTGCAGACCGAATACAGTGGAGCTGGGATTCAAACAAGTTTTTTGTCCTCAAGTTCGGTCATTTTTTTGATTCTTTTGTTGCTTTGTGTAAATTTAAGTGTTTGTACTAACTTTTCCAGGATTTTCTACATTTTTGATTTTATCTGACAGTCCTTTCCCTGTAAAGAAAATTTTCAACTACATGCAACATTGGAGGTAGGGTCCTTTTTTTTAGATTTTTCTGAGACTCTGAAATCATACCATTATAGGGAATGGCCTCTTCCACTTTTGTATAGTTGTGAAGATCATCTGAATGTTTATTTTGAAACTAGACCCAAGGTCATTAGCTACTTTGGGGTTAGTAGTTTTTCTCTAAAATATTCAAATATATTTTACGACATATTAGGCTGACTTTTCTCAGCACCTACATTCTTACCCAATTCATAATTCTCATGTTTTAGAGAACTGAGACTGGATGGAGATATGTTTAACTCACATATTGAGCTTATGCTCTATACTCAAACTCACAGGTGAAACATTTTAATAACTGAATCTTTTCCAGTGGATGATTTGAAGATGTATCTCAAAGAGATTATGTAGGTTACATAGAAGAAATATCAATATTTTATTAAAATTATTTATCTTTTAAGGATGAAAAATGATTACTCTGAATTTCAAGGAAAGTCGGCATAAGCATAGAATTGCCTCTTTATGAGATGTATATATTTTATGATGAACAGGGGAAAAAAGAGCTTAAATTGTATATTCAAAGTGGGAAAAATGAAAGTCTATGGGAGAATCCTGTAACAACTTCTCGTCTCTTCCTGGTTAAAACTAAATACCTGGCCGGGCGCGGTGGCTCAAGCCTGTAATCCCAGCACTTTGGGAGGCCGAGACGGGCGGATCACGAGGTCAGGAGATCGAAACCATCCTGGCTAACACGGTGAAACCCCGTCTCTATTAAGAAATACAAAAAACTAGCCAGGCGAGGTGGCGGGCGCCTGTAGTCCCAGCTAATCGGGAGGCTGAGGCCGGAGAATGGCGTGAACCCGGGAGGCGGAGCTTGCAGTGAGCTGAGATCCGGCCACTGCACTCCAGCCTGGGCGACAGAGCGAGACTCCGTCTCAAAAAAAAAAAAAAAAAAAAAAAAAAAAAAAAAACTAAATACCTAACATATGAAAAAAAAATTAAACTTACCTTGACATGTTCTACTTCTCACCACTTGGTATCCCTGGGGGCACATACATGAGAATTTCCCAGGTTCATTGACACACTGATATTGACACAGGTAGCTTGAGGTTCTGCATTCATCAATGTCTGTCGAATCAGACAAGAGCAAGGACACAGAGTTGAAAAGCTTATGCACCACTACTTTGGATATATATATATATATATATATATATATACACACACACACACACACACACATAAAGATTAAAAATATTTATATTAAAATAATTATATATAATTAAAATTATATTTTAAGGAGAAAAATTATATCTGTATATATAAAGAGATCTGGCTTCTGATCCTATTCCTGCTACTGTGTGACTTGGGCACATTTCTTAAGTTGCCTGGGTTTCGTACACACACACACACACACACACACACACACACACACACACACACATATATATATTTTCCTGCTCAACAGTCCCAGGGAAGTAATATACTTTTGAGGTGAGCTAAAGAGAGTAAAAATATTGCAAATTCTGAAATAGAAATACAAAACTTTATAAGCAGCTGAAAGGTAAATTCTAACAATATCAGCTTATTTCCCTCTATGACTTCACAGCACAAAGAGTTTTTCTTATCATGACTTTTACTGAATTGTTACTCACAATTTGGCTAATCCTGGACCTAACTACACTACTGAATGAATTGGCTTGTGGTTGATGGTCTTCATTTTGGACTCTGCAGACCCATCCAGGATGTAGAGTTCATGTTTGTCTTCTCAGAAATTGGGTGACTTTGACACCAAGTTCATCTGAGCTTTGAACTCCAAGTCCCCTAACCTGTGCAAGCTTCCAGAATGACAACTTGGCAGGAGCTGGCCTTCAGGGGAAGAATGCTTTGCATTTCTGAATAGTGATGTCCCTACAGTTTACTCAGAAGGGCAGAGGCAGCTGTCCTGAGGTAGCCTCTTTCAGTTTTGAGCGTAATGGCATGATGTGAGGCTTCTCTCGTTAGGGTTCGAGCTTTGTGTAAAGCTGAGTGAACTGTGAGGAGGTCAGGGACATCAAGTGTCTGTGGCATCCCCCTCAGGATGTCTAATACCTTTTGAATTATACAACAAAATGTGCACATGCAATGGACTCTGAAGGTCATCAGTCTAGTTAAATGACCCTCCTCTTGTTCATGTGGAAAGTGAAACCCAGGCGACTTAAGAAATGTGCCCAAGTCACACAGTAGCAGGCATAGAACCAGAAGCCAGATCTCTTGATTTTTATTTTAATATTTTGACATGCACTTGGCTATTCTGAAACTTAAATGTGCACACCAGTCACCTGGAGTTTTTGTTGAATGTAGATTCAGACTTAGAAGGTCTGAGTTGGAGCCTGAGATTCTGCATTTCTCATAAGCTCCCAGGAGGTGCTGACACACCTGGTCACTGGATAATACACTGAGAAGCAACATGCTAGAGCACCCTTTCTAATTATTAGGGCCAGCCTGCACCTAATATTTCAGTTATTTTACTTCCTTTCCTTTTTCTTGGTAACACACTAAAAAGGCAATGTAACAACTGAACTACATTAACTGGATTTCAGAACAGAATTCCCATGGGTAAACATTTGTTTTCATAAATGGGTACATAATCAGATAAAACAACAGCAATCACAGGGATTGGACTTTATTCCATACTATCTGGGAAGAGTTTTACCTTCACAGTTGAGCCTGTCACTGCTTAGTTCATATCCTTGATTGCACTGACAGATGAATGAACCAAGAATGTTGTAGCACTGCTGAGCACATTGATTGCTGGCATCACATTCATTTATATCTGAAAAAAAGTTATATATATATATATATATATATATATATAGAGAGAGAGAGAGAGAGAGAGAGAGAGAGAGACTTTAAACACATCCTTGCTCTTTTGTACCTATGTCATCTGCTGATAAATAATTCCCTAGCTGAATTATTTGCCCTGCAGAAGCTCACTGGAGAACATCCATTTAGGTTTCATATTTGTTGGAACAACTTCAAACGTCTGTCATATATTTCTTTTGGAAATACCAAAATATTTTTTCTAGGAATGACAGTTAGTTTGATGTTTGATGAATCTTTCCAAAGGAATTTAATGCTTCTAATAAATATACATTCCAGTATCTATTTTCTTTTGTTGTTGTGCAGATACAAAATGCCAGTTCTATAAATAATTGATATAAGACACTTACACTGATATGGTCTCTCAGCATGCTGTACTGAAGATTTATCTGTGCTATTTATTACTTTTTAAATGGGTTCTGTTAAATTCCATTACAATTATAACATAAGCCTTTGAGACCCATACGGAGTTTTGCAATGCTCTAAAGCACTGAAAATATTGTGAAAAGGCATTTTTCCTACACTAGATTTTTTCCAAGTCATGCCAATCTTTTAATTGTGTGCCGTGACATTGCATTCTGAAAGGGGAGAAGAAGCATGTAAAAATCAGATGCACTTGCAGTGGAAAGTTTATATACTTGAACTGGTAGTAACCTCTTTGGCACTTTCAGTATTATATCACACACTTTTGACTAATTGGTGTATGTATATCAATTGATTTGTAGTTTTAAATTTGTCGATATAGCCACAAAGGAGAACTAAAACCAAAGTTAAAAAGTTTTCCATTCACATCTTGATGTGTTTTAAGACACAGATTGGTTATTATCTTTTAAGCTTTATGATTGCTGAAGGGAAGTCGATGGAAACTATTTACTCAAGAACATAGAAAACTGGAAATACTGCAACATGGCATGGGGTTTCCTTTTGTGAAGACAGAAATCAGCAAGTTCTCAAAAGGCTTACCTACGCAGGTATAGTTGTTTGCTGCCAACTGAAACCCAGGACTGCACTGGCAATAAAATGAGCCTGGTGTATTCACACATCTTTGGTGGCAATATGGAGGGATGGTACATTCATCTATGTCTAGGTTATCAGGCACATACACAAAGAGAACAAAATGATTGAATTAGCATTGCTGTTTGCTTTCAAATTCTCTGTAAAGCATTATCTAGAAAACCTATCTAGAGAAAATCTCTTTTTAAAAGGAATACTTTCCTCTCTGTTTTGTTAAAATTAGGGTATATATATATATATTTTAAATATACTTCATATTCTGCAGTTAAGATGTTAAGAACAAAGACTCAATGTTCATGCCATTCAGTGGTAAATAAACTTGGTGGGTGGGTTGAGATTTAAAGAAAAAAAATAATTGAGACTATTGTACATATATATAAGATGTCAGTTTGGGGAGCTAAAAGCTTATGTATAATTACAGAAGTGAAAAAGAACTACTGAAGCACATTGGGCAGCACGAAACAAAGAAGAAAGAGTTGTGGGCTGTGCTCAACTGGTGACCTTGGCTAAGTCACTTATGCCTTCAGTATCTTGTTTTTTTGTTCTGCAAGATGTGGATAGCACGGCTTGCCATGTGTATCTTAGGACGTTTTTGTATATCAAATAAAAGAACACTGTGGAAGAATAGGATGCTAAATAAGTTACCTCTTGAGAGTGCTCTTTTGACACTTTGATGAAGTGTTCCAGCCTGTGTCCTTCTCATATAAATATTTTCAACTATAAAATGCTCAAATGAGAACTTGCAAAGGAGGATTAACATCTTAGAAGTGTAATAAAATTTCGTTAATTCATGATTCTACACTTTGTGACAACTTCAACATGGCATGTGTAATTTAAAACAACCATTATGCATATACAATGTAATGCTATATAGTGACACTGCCTTGTGGTAAACCCAAACAAAACAAACCTTTATGCTGGGCTCTTTTGGTACTTTAATAACTAAAATTATGGGAAGTAGTGTGCTCAAGTGGCCTCAGGATAACCTGAGTTTGAATCTTTGTTCTGGCAATTACTAGCTTGGTCTTAACCTCTCGAACTTCCATTTCCTCTTCTGTAAGTAGAATTATTGGGAAAGTTATGTGACATAATGTAGGCAAAGTTCCTGGCACAAAGCAGGTAAACATAAATGGGAACTAATAAGCTGCAAGATATATTTAATTTAACTTGAATATTGAAATAAATAGTAAGAAGATATTCACATGGCTTTCCCCTTACTTTGTTCAGGTGTCCATTCAAATGTCACCTCCTCAGGGTGGCCACCCTTCCCACCAATATAAAATAGGTTCTTCTGCCCTATCTATTTCCTTACCTTGCTTTAGACTTCTTTGTAGTCCTTAACAGTACTCAACATTGTGTTATGTGTTTATTTGCTTCTTGTGTGTTCCTTCACTATAGTGCATGGCAAATAAGAACTGTCTTCTCCCCTCAACTGTCTTCTCCCCTTGAGATAGAGGGTTTTTTGTCCGTTCATTGTTAGATCTGGAATAGGGCCTCGCATAGTAGGTGCTCAATAAATACTATTTGAATGAATCGAAACTTCACACTAATTAAGAGCAATTTCAGCATAGTGCTTCCTAGTCCTCAGTACTGTCATCAGGTGCTAGTATTGATAGCTAATTTGTATGAGTGGTAGTATACTTTCTAATAGCTCCACGAGGACTATGAATTTGTAAAATTTGTTTACTACTATCCCAGTGTCTAGAACAATGCTTGTTACACATTAAGCCCTCAATAACTATTTGGTGAATAAATGATGCATGTCTTCTTAACTAATAAACATTCATTGAACCATTGTTATTTGCTAGCATTGTGTTTGGTACCGCAAGTTTATAATGATAATCACTGTACTTATGTTCTGCCCTGTCTGGTATGAAAGACAGGCATAGAACAAATTATTCCATGGAATGAGAAGATCAGCAGTAGAAAGGAGTGTAAGGGACCCAGGGAGCACCATGCTACTTGAAATGTGGCCTGCTGACTGCTGCTGGTTCATGGGCTATTTGGACCAGTCTGCAATGATTAAATACAGAAACTGAGAGTACATGTTTATAAATAGCAATTTGACATTACTGCAACATTATTTTTATTGTACTTTACAGAAGTATTGGCCTGCCACAGATTGGAAATTTACAAAAAAGTATCCTTCATCCTAAATTTGAGAAGCACTGGCACAGGGGAGGGAGCAACTAATTATATTTGGGTAGATCATAGTGGGCTTCCCAGAGGAAGTGATCCTAAGCTAGGATTTGGTAGTGAAATAAGAGTTTGCCATGAGGGAATGTTCTTGGTGCTGTAAAGAGCTTGTGTAGAGGCACCGAAGTGTAAGTAACACTGTGTGATGTGTGTGGGGAACTGGTGGAATAAAGCTGGGGTATAATATTATTTTGTGGTGGGGGAGAGGTGTTTATGCAACAGAAATGGACAATGATCAGATTGAGCAAGACCTTTCATGCTCTGTCGAGGAATGTAGACTTGATTCTCTCAGTGAGAGAAGCAGGAGGGAAGACACATGATTAGATCTGAGTTTAGGAATATTTCCTCCTACCACATTAAAAGGGCTGTGACCATATGTTCCATTATCTTTGATTCACCCCACACTAAGTTGGATTAGTTCTTTTTTTCTATACTTTTTATGCCCTCAAATGTTTATTTTCCTGTCTAATACAATGGCAAAATTTTGGTATCTCTGGAGTTTTCTACGCACTCTTCTTTTAAATCTCAGCTTCATTACAGCCAACCCTGGGCCTTCCTCAGAGGCTGGGCACTAACCCCAGCATCTAGGCACAGCCCTATGGCAGGCAGAACTGGGCGGGGGCCCACATGGAACTCAGTGTTGACATGTGAACATCAACAGCTCACATTCTCAGGCAAAAACTGACGCTGGTTGTCTGTCCCCACATCCTCACTCTCTGTTCCTAAGAGGAAATAAGGCTTCTTCACTGGTCTGTGATAAGAGGGGGTATGTAAATAAATGGACAGTCGGTTAGAGTTTCATGCCTAGTGCTGGGCCTCATGATTGAGCCCAGAGTACTGTATTTTACTTCACTATCTGCCAGTTGGCTTCCTCACACTTTGTTCTTCCATTCACTCAAAACACATGCATAGAGCCTCCATCACATGGTGGGCATGCTTCAGGGACTGGGGAGACCACAGTGACACAAGCTGACCTGGTCTTGCTGTCAGGGAGCTCATGCTCTTAGGCCCTCCAACACAGGCACATGGTGAAGTTGGCTTTGTACTCCTGGTATCCTACAAAGGCTTGCAGCATAAAGAGCCTTTAATACCCATCTGTTGACTTAGAACAGGGACAGGGACTGTTCTAAGCATTCCCTACATGAGCTCTGGAGGTAGGGACCAGTACTATGTCCACAATACAAGTGAACATAGTGAGACACAGGATTTAAGTAACTTACTCAAGGTCTCAAAGTGAACTGGGGTTGGTGCTTGGAATGCAACTCCACCATTTGCTTTATGTGCTGTGCTATGCTATGCTCTGCAGCAGTGGATGGTGAATGAAGCCCACAGTACCAGTGTGCTAGCACAATGGCCCCCAAAACAGCAAATTTAAATTTCTTTGTGGTTGTTTTTATGTTCCCATTCATACCCCAAATTTCTGCTCTTGCTTCGTCTAACATTTAGCCAACACTTTGTTATCCAGAATAGGCTCAACCTTTAAGGTTGTTTCTTGTTATTGTGGAAAATGGATTGGTAGTCTGTGAAAGAATAAGGAGTTATTGGCTACCACTCTCCAAAGAAATATGAATGCTTTCATTGGAATGCTTGAGGTTGAAACAGTTAAGGTACTCAAGACAGGACCGTGCTCACTGCACTGTGGTACTTACCTACGCACTGCTCCCCTCGCTTCTGATATCCAGGAGGGCACTGACATGCAAAGGATCCCCGTAAATTGATGCACACTTGGTCTGCTCTACAGTTGTGCGTCCCTGCAGTGCACTCGTCTATGTCTGTCAGAGACACGCAACACAGAAAGAATTGTCAGTTGTGAAGATGTTGATATTGCCTCCATTTTGCCACTTCTTAAGCTAAATTTTTACTTTATTCTTAAAAGCTTATTATGTTCTTACATTGGAAATGTTTAAAATTATACATTATTTCAAGTGTTCAGAAAATAATTTTGCAAATACCAATAAGTACTGCTCAGATTTAACAAATGCTAACATTTTGCCATGTTGGTCTTGGCTCACTCTGTTTTGTTAAGAAACATTTCATATACAGCTAAAGCCTCACACCATCCTCATCCCTTGACCCGTCACCTACCACTGTCTCAGTAGGAAGGAATCCTTCCCTGTTTTTGTACTTTCATTAGACAGGGATGCATCCATTAGAACATATGATATTGTTTTGTATGTTAAAACATTTAAATAGATTGTATGATACTTGCTTTTTCCATCCAATATATTGTATTTGAGATAATTTTCATTGACAAATTTCTAAGCAATAACAGTGTAATCAACCTTTAATATTATACGTTCCCTGTAGTTGTTTGTTTTTACAAACAGCAGGGTAACATGTACGTATACATTTTTATTTGCAAATTTCAGAATGCAAAGGATTCAATTTGATCGTGTTTCTCTAGCCTGTGTAGTTTAAAAATCCATATTTTCTCAAAGCAGTGCACTTCTGGGAATAATTTGCTAAATGTGCCTTAAGGAGTATGCAGGTTACAGTTCTAGAAAAGTAAAAAATGCCCAGTGATAGCATAATAAACCAGTTACAAAAAATTTCTTTGGGATCAAATGGTGATATAAAATTGTGTGTGTACATTCATATTTTCAGTCATTTATAAGTAAAATCTAATTTTACCTTATCTGTATCACCTTTATATTCATTCAGCTCTCCTATATCATGAAGTTAAGTAGCACACAAGAAAGGATCATATAATTTCATCATTCTTCAACAACCACTCTAAGCTTCATTAAAAAATGTCATAAAACTTGTGATTCCTAGATGACAATTTTTGCATAAAAACCAAAATACTACCCTGGGTCTACCACAGTGATGATCTAAGATCCCTGAGGCAGATTTCAGGGGTCTTAGATAATCACTGTGGCAGACCCAGGGTAGTATTTTGGAAGAAAAAGTAGGGAAAGAATCAATAATAAAAAATTGACCCAATTTCTGTCTTCCCTCTGAGAATCTCAGAGAGTAGCCCCTGAGGTTGGTTTGCCTTTCACTTTTCTGTATTTTCAAGGAGGATTGCCGCATTTACACTATGCAGTATAATAATACATGAAGTTGAGATTGTAAAAGGGTTGTCCTCAGAAATCGGCTTCACTTAGCTGGGTGTGGAAATGATAAGAGAGATTCTTTCCATAAGAAAGAGGGAGGGGAGATGAAAAATACTTGAGTGATGTATGGCTATTTATTGGATAATAATCTATAAAGCATCCACTTACGTAATTCTTTGAACTTGGTTTTAAAGTTTTGGCTAAGGTTTTTGTTACTTTGTTTTGAAATTTATTATAATTACTACTAGTATTATTTTCAAGTCAGTGATTACAAACTGTCCTTTTTAGGTACTATGCGATGGTGCAACAATCTTGCTTTGAAATTATCTGCTGTTCCTTGTGTCTTTTATTATTTTCTCAGATGCACTTGATGAAAACCTTTCTACTGGGGTTTCTTCAGAGCTTTATGACTCGTTAATGCAGAAATGACAGCAGAATTTCTATTGTTTTATGTCAAGAACATTTGCCAGCATTTGCAGTGATAACAGTCCTGAGAGATATGGCAATGTTAGATTCAGATGTGGCAAGTTTCCTCTGGCAGAAGATCAAGGCCCTGGGCTGGCTGCTGCATTTTCTAAGGGAGGCCTCAGCAGTGACTGAGGTTTTTCTTTTTGACATCTGTCTGCAAACTGCCTCCACCCCGCTGCATTCCTACAACTGATGCCCTATGACTTCCTTCCTACTTTCTTGTCGCTCATTTCTTAGTGTCTCATAAATAGGCTAACATTTCCAGTGGAATTAATGTATCATTAAATAGATTTTAAACACAAAAATCTGTGCTACTCCTTCTTAAGAATGAGGTCTGTTTACCTTCTGAGTGGGTTATTTAATAAAAATATTAGGTGAGTTAAATTAATTTAATAAAAACAACAACAACAACAAAAACAAATAAAATACCACTGTGCTCAATGCCACTACTTTCCTTCCCTTTCTCCATCAAAACCCAAACAAAGCTGCAACAAGACTTGCCTCACCTAGGACTGACTGGTGATTACACATTTTACTTACCGGGACTCATAAAATCGTCAAAAAAGTGACCTCTGTGACCAGGAAGCAGCTACTAACTACATTTCCATTTATGGCTTCTCTGACTGTGGTTTAGAATATTTATCCTCTCTCTTGCTGTTGGCGGTTTATCTAATGCTAAAGGCTATAAACAGACTCAATTTCTTTGACCTATTTTCAATGATTTTTTTTTTTTTTTTTTTTTTTGAGACGGAGTCTCGCTCTGTCGCCCAGGCTGGAGTGCAGTGGCCGGATCTCAGCTCACTGCAAGCTCCGCCTCCCGGGTTCACGCCATTCTCCTGCCTCAGCCTCCGGAGTAGCTGGGACTACAGGCGCCCGCCACCTCGCCCGGCTAGTTTTTTTTTTTTGTATTTTTTTAGTAGAGACGGGGTTTCACCGGGTTAGCCAGGATGGTCTCAATCTCCTGACCTCGTGATCCACCCGTCTCGGCCTCCCAAAGTGCTGGGATTACAGGCGTGAGCCACCACGCCCGGCCTATATTTTCAATGATATTAATGTCAATTTATTAGTTTATTTAAATAACACAATTTTATTTTGAAAATTGTACTTTGAGATCCTGGAATTACTTATTTACACATCTATACAAAGTCATACAAAATTATTATACATTGTTAAATTCTATTATGTTTGGCTTTTCTACTTCTGTGCATTTCCATTTGTCGTAAATACCAGAAAGCTCACTATGATACAAAAATTACTAAAATGGACAATGATGTCAGAAACTCAAAGCAGAATACCCATCCCTGTGCAGATGCTCTGGAAAAGCTGGCTGTCCCAGGAGCATTGATGACAGTCCACTGCCCTCTACTTGCTCCTGACTTCCCATAGTGCAAACACAGCCTTTTGTAGGTATCTCCATGGTGTGTAAGAAAAATCAGTTTCCTACATTTGTATGGGAGAATGTCTGCATTAGCAAAAGCAATGTTTTATTTATAAGGGAAACTACTCAGGTCAGCCATGATTTTCCTGATAATCTAAGACAAATTACTATGGGGAGAAATCTTTTGTTGTTTTTGCATGATTATAATTTATCCTTGACAGTTAAGCTCACTTGGTTTTTCAGGCAGTCAGTTAATACATTTCCTGGGCCCTGGACCCAAGCTCTTTGGGTGGGGGTGGGGGATCTGTCTTATTTGCCCCCCCATATTCCCAGTGCCTAGGATCATGCATGAAACATGGTGGATTTTCAGTAAATATTTGTTCAATAAATGGATAAATGAGTTATTACCGTTTGCTGAGAATTGGTATCTAAAGTTTCAGGAAAAGTAGGATCAGTGTTTTACCTAATGGAGCTAAAAATGTATAAAGCAGAGTAACAGGTAATATCTGAGAAACACAGCAAAATCAGTAAGATGTCAGTAAAAGAAAAATAATGTTGAGCAGTTGAGTTCAGGAGTGCAGAGGCTATGAGGTATAAAGCAGATTTGCCAGAAGAGGTGGGTTCTCCAATGCATTTTGAAGAAGACGAGATACATGGGTTGCCAGGAAAAGGAAGCTGTTTCTAGGCAGAAAGCGGCTCACATTAGAAAATGCTGATAAGACAAAACTGGTTTCCATGAGAAGAATGGCAGACAGATGGAGCCAGCACAGCTGCAGGGGCTCTGTGTGAGGAGCCTGGTACAGTGCCTGGTTGAAGAGGATCATGAAATGCTAGCTCTGTCATGAGCAAAATTCAAGGCCTTAAAGGCAAGATTAGAGAGTCTGGATTGAACAACATAAGGAGTCTCTCTGAACTATGTAGACAGAGCCTAATGTTAACATTACCAAAGAACAAAATAATAGAATGTGCTTCCTAAAATATCACAACACATTTCATCATTCTAATACATTAAGAATAGCTAATGGCAATATTTGGTGATGCCCTCATTTTTCAAAAATGTGCCCACGCACTCCCTCCTAGTGATTTATACTATTGTAGGTCCCTCTCTTGCTGACTTTGGCACCATTAGTTGCTTTAAATAACGCAGGCTAATCTTTGCTCAGCTCTCACTTCTAGCCTCTTTGTCACACTGACCCCCAAGTCTAGGGAACCGCACATTTGATTTTCTCTCAAAGTTAATGGAGGCAACTATGTCCACATCTCTGTGGTGTCCATTAAGTCCCTGCTTAGGCCCTCATTCTCTATGTTTTTGGCTCCTTCCCTTCAGTCTGACTCATATTTCCCAAACCCCTGACTCATGCTGCTTTCTCTCTCTTATGCAACATTTTAATCTCTGCAATGTTCTTTCCATAATTTGATAACTTACCACGACATGGAGTCCCTTCAGCATGTTTTCATGGGCAAAAATTATCTGCACCTTGAATGGTGTTGAGGACCATTTAGACTTTTATAATTTGTGCTGCTTCTGGTTTAAGAAATAATTTAGAACTACTTTTGAATAAGCCACTGTAGACTAGAGATGAGAATGCACTAGTAATAGGACAAAGAAGACTGAAATTATTTTGAATCTGTCACTCCCTATGTGATCTAGGGTCATGGCATCCATTTTTTTCTCTTTATTTCTCCATCTCTAAAATAGACAGTCTATCCTTAACAATAACACACAGATTTTTAAAAGTATTCAGATTCTTCACAACATACTTTTTTTTTTGTTTCCAGACTGTAAATTCCTGTAGTAAAATAACCGTATCTTTACTAGTTCTGTGTGGGACACGGTGCATGCTTTGCAAATATTATTTAATGGTGCTAT